TCTACTGCACATCACCAAATAAGGGTATGTTCAAATGGTAAATGTTCATCTTCACTGTAATTAATATTTTTAGGATACACTGAAAGTATGATTAATCCTGTGTGTTCAGTTTGTGTACTTAAAATAAGCTAAAACAACACTATTTGTTGCTGTATAACTGTATATTAAAGTTGCTGTAAAATTGTGTTCCACTTAAATGTATTAATCCATACTCAAAACTCAAAAACACAGACTTGAATATAACCTATTATCTTGGTTTAGAAATAAGATAAATTAATTTTGTGAGATCACTTAAAATCAAAAAGGCACTTTTTTCAGTGTATATGTTTACACTTATTCAACTTTAACAATTTAAATCAAACAGAAAGCCATGAACAATGGTCACATAAAGTTCACAGACATTACAACAAAACCACAGATTATGTCACAATATAGTCAATAATCTGATTAATTTATAAAGATTAAGTGTTAAAATTTACACAGAAGAAAAGTATCGCTACACAAAGTATAGAGTGAATATTATGCAGGAAATAACTACTGATCAGAATTGTTTACTCTGTAATTCTGTTTACAAAATGAACAGTTCTGGTCCTTGTTTCCAATTAGTGAATAGCAGTATTTTATTTTAAACTGCTATTAATTAGCAGTTTTTTTTTTATTATTAACATTCTGCAGATTTCAAAACTCCCCAGTATAAAATATGGATTTTTGCCACACTCTTGCAAATTGGAGAAAAGGCGTTATATTTAAGCTCCCGAAGAAGGGAAATCTCACTGATTGTAACAAATGGCGCAGAATAGCTTTACTATCGGTTCCTGGAAAAGTCCTTAGCATGGTCATTCTCTGGAGGCTGCGATGTGCAATCAATGAGCTGCTACGGGAAGAACAGACTGGATTCAGGAGTGGATGATCCTGCTCTGAGCAAATCTTTGTCTTAAGAACAATTATCGAGCAAAGTGTTGAACTACAACAGAAACGGCTGAGCTGGAAAGAGAAGTGAAAAAAGCTGGACTCAGGATTAACACGGCCAAGATCAAAATCCTCCACATAGGCTATGCCCCTGTGCATACTCCAGTTCACATGGTCCACATTGATCCAACCTCTTGGCGAAGTTGATCAGTTTACTTATCTTGGTAGCATTGTGACTACTCACCCCTTGGCCGATATCATCACTGAACGCTGTTTTTGGTTTGCGGGCCATATTCTTTGGTTATCCCGGGAATGATTATCAAAGATGGCCATGTCGTGGACGCCACTCCACAGGAAGCGGAAGCAAGGCCGCCCGAGATAAAAATGGCGCCGTACATTTATCGAAGACCTACAAGCTGCTGACTTATCATGGGATGAACCTGAATCCACTGCGACCCAGCGAGCGAGCAAATTTGTAAAATAGGGCACAATGTACTGTATTAATATGAGGGAATTTTCTGCAATGATTTTTAAAGGTGTTTTACTTTGCACGTTGCACTACACTGCGTTGTGTTTTAGAGTTAATGGAAATGTTCATAAAATTAATGAATAATGTCCTGGTTGAAAATTACCTGTACAAATTATAGTTCCGGCGTAATAATCAAGGAACTTTGCTGCCGTACCATGGGTGCAGCAGGCGCAATGATATTACGCAGCGCCTGAAAATAGTCCCCAGCTAGGTAACTTCCAACGTGACCCACTAAGTTTGTGTAGTTGCAGAGTTGCTGGGGACTATTTTCAGGCAAAAATAGTGGCGTGTTCCTTTAAACCTGAATGCATGGGGACTCGTTTCTAGGGGGACCTAAATTGAGGTTCCCATGAGGAAACAAGATTCTAAATCAAACAGAATGAGTTTTTTTGAGAATGTAAAAATGCAGAAAGTTTTCTGTGAGAGATAGGTTTAGATGTAGGGTTGGTGTAGGGTGTGAGTGTGTGTGTGTACATGTTTATGTGGTTTATGAGGACACAAATTTGTATAGTGACATGGGTATGACATAGGTATTAGAATGTGAAGGTGGTTTATGAGGACACTTCCTGATGTGTCCCCGTAATTCAAAAGGTTTAAAATAAACATACTAAATGGTGTTTTTTTTTTCTATTTCTTTTTTTTTTTTAACTAAAAATCTAAAAATGCACAAAGTTTCCTGTGAGGGCTAAGTTTTAGAAAATATAAAACACAGTTTATACAATATAAAAACCATTACACCTATGGAGAGTCCCCATAAACCATAAAAACCAACGCATGTGTGTGTATGTTCAAAAATAAATAACAGTGCATGAGAACAGTTCTTGGTCACTGTCATGCACTATTTCTCTGGCAGAAGGATGGAATTGAATGATTTTATAAATGATTTTATTTTAATTAAAAATTATTTATTTAATGATTTTATAAAAACAATCAAGTTTTATGAAAGCTTCACGTAGTGGCTAACAAAGCCCTTCAGCTGTGGCTGTATTCACAATAAAGCACGTCTTTCGTAGCTTATTGCTTGCTTAAATCTGTTCAAATAATCTATTTTGATAATAAAAATTTTAGCAATAACTATTGCTAATCAATTAACTAAATTTAAAGTTATAAACAATTTCAAACAAATACTTAATGTACATATTTTTTTCTAGCTCTCAGTGACTCCGCTGTGAACAAACGTATCAGGACTCTTGGGTATCTTCATGTGTTTCTTCCAAATATTATGATGTTTGTGGCCTTTGTCCTCTGGGGTGTTACTGAAGGTGAGTCTTTCAAGTCTATTAATCACACAGTTACAAAACCAACATTATTCTGATGTCTCATTTGAATTTTAAATTCAATCATTCGACTGTAAGATAGTTCTGTTCACTTTTACCAGTGCAAGTGTGTTTCAGTGCAGTGTGTCATGACCACTTGTCTCTCAATATTTTAAATGTATTAGCCAATCATTTTCATGAAGGATGTGAATGTGTTGCAGGTTTTCTGTATGAGACGGTCTCTTGCTGTGCTCTTTATATACTGAGGCCTCTGATGTTGCTTTATGTTGCACCATATTTAGAGAAGATGTCAGGTTTGGATTTTTCCATAACGTATTCATGATATTACATTTGTATACATGCATACAAAATGTTTTTATTATTGATAGGTCAATACTCTAAAATCTAACATGATATACACTACTGTTCAAATGTTTGGGGTCAGTAAGATTGATTGAAAGATTCTTTAATTCTTTGATAAACAGAAAGGGGGACCCCACTCCCGACATCCATCCAGTGCATTCATTTAAACCTGTTTCTTTTTACAGGTGAAGCTCTTTTCACTGAAATCGTCATTTTTATAGTAGTTTATGTTTCAGGTTGGTAAATACAAATATTTTACCAATGATCATGTTTAATCTCCTAATTGTTTAATACCAGTGATCATGTTTAATCTCCTAACCACTGAATTTCTCATTATAAACAGTGTGTCATTCTTTTAGGCTTGATTTTTTCCCCCCTCGTTATTCTGTTTTAGTTCTTTTGCGTCGTGCTTGGGAATCAGTTGTACATTATGCCAAATCGGACAAAATTGTGGTATTGGTTGTGTATGGTGTCATGATTCTGTTTATTGTCATCGGCATCATTTACCGTAAGTTTCTGTTTCATACAAAGTTCTTTGAAACTCTGTGTGAAATTCTTTTTTCCAGCCATAAGTAGCTAATAACTTCTAACACAGAATTGAAGAAAACGTGGATTATTATTGTTATTATTTTTTCTAGTTTTGTCTAAAAAGAAGGAGATGCCATGCCATGGAGCGATATGTAAATGGATATGGGATCAATTAGCAATTGCATCTGGATTCATCTTTTTAATTCTTCCTTCATTGCAATTTGCTATTGTGTACTTTGCTTTTGGAGCTGCCAGAGGAGGTCAGTGACCCATCATTTTAATAGGAAAATATTTATGAATAAAACAGTAGTAACTATGCTATTGTATGTTCAGAGAACAATCAGTTAATTGACAATTAACCTAAACAGAGTTACAAAACAGGTGTTATCTGTCAGTAAATCTTACATAAATCTTATTTTTTAGGGTATTATGTGTCCATAGCTGTCCCGGTTTTCTATTTTCTCTCATTTTCCTGTTTGTTTAAACTACGGGGAGGGAAAAGCTGTAAGTATGTGATAAATTATTTTGTCTGTAGTTATGATTATTTTCATGTTCATATTTAGTCAGCTCATTTAAAATGATTAAACATCTTTTTCAGGTTTAGAATTACTCAATAAAACAGCATGGATAATCTACATGTTTATCATGAATACAGTAATGATTCTTTTCTACATCACAATACTGGCAAATGAAAGAGGTATAATTATATTTCTAATAAAGGAAATGATTCAAACGTCTTTATCTTGTATTCCTGAACTAAAGCAGCATGTATGTTTTACTAAATTACCTTAAGTGAATCTTTATGTAGTAAAAACATACTTTTTTTTGTACAGATGGTGCAGGATGGATCTGCATGGCTGTTTTTCAACAAGCGCTGTGGATGATCGCAATTATTATATTCATTGCCCGTGGGAAAACAGGAAATGGGGGGGGGGAAACAACCTTGAATTCCACATGTGATTTTTCAGAAAATCACATGCATTTAGATTTAAGTAATTTTCACACATGCAAGCCCCATATACTATTTTCATGTGATCATTGTATAATTTACAAAAACACAAATGAAATTGAATAAATATAGTATACCCTTAAAACAATGTTAATCACAATATTTATTCCTCCATCTAGTATTAATTTTAGATAAAACTTCTACTTCAGTAAAACTACTGTACCCATTATAAAAACTAATTCATATATAAATGTATCCATTAAGCTTAAAATATTTTTTGTAAATCAACTGTTTTATACTATATTAAAAAAAATAAGTAATCATTCATCTATTACAGATCTAACCATCACCTTTAAAAAGATGTTGTATGTGTTTGGATCAGTTGGTGTTGTTGTACTGAACTCTGTTACACTGATGACTGAACTGATGCTGAAAACAGGTGAGTAAAAACACTTTTTACATTTTTAAATATTCTAAACTTTTCAAAATCTTACAAATGTGTTTATTTTCTGGTTTAAATGGCAATAAATTGACCGTTCTGACATTATCTTTATCCCTCTATTGCTCAGATTTCACCTCCATAGGTTACTGATCATTGTATGTTATGGATGCATTGACAGCACAAAACCTTCAAAAGAACTTATTGTTGTTGTTGTTTATTGTGTGATTGTGTAATGGCTTTCATCCTCAGTAAATGGTGAGCGTGCAGTGGGGGATCTGAGAGTCATCGTCTTTTCCTCTGAAAGCCTCTTTGCCTTTTCTCTGCTGATTTTACTCATGTTTGGACCCTGTAAGTACAACTGAAGCTGTTTCCTTGGTTTCATTACTAATTCTAACCTGTTTAATGAAATTCACTTCAATATGTTTACAAGAAAACATTTTAAACTCTTATTGGACTACCATGAATTGAATATGGCTTAATATCTGACGACTGATGATCTATCTTTCTTGACCAAGCAGTTTATAGAAGTGATGTGAAGAGTCATGCATCTCTCACATTGTGATGCATGTTGGTGTTTGATTAACAGTGTGTGTTTCATAATTCAAACACACTCAGTCATCAATTTCATTCACTGAGAGCTGCTCACATGAAGGATGAACAGCAATAACAAACTAAATTGACTGTTACCAATGATGCTGTATGTTCAGTATATTAATTTATTTCAATTTCAACATGATAATCGGCAGGAATGGATGACTAAATGAGAAACACGAGTGATTTGTGAAAGCTGAATGTCAAGTCCATAGTGCATCTGTGCTTTGAGACTTTACTAAAATATCCTTTTCTCACTGCAGGGATTTCAGACATGAAGTGTCTGCAGTGTTTTCAGGTTAGTATCACTGCATTGAAATGTACTTTATATTTATTATACATAGCTTGTTTCCTAATCTAGATTTCAATAAGCCTGCCATTGTATATTACGAATATGCTTGACTTACATTTACATACATCTCATTCAGGAAGCAGCAAGGCCTCTTGACGTTCCAGTCACCAGATCAGACCAGAACCAGGATTCTCAGGTGAATATCTTTTATAAGATCATATTGATATAAGGTGTATTCTTGTCCTACAATTAAAAGCTGCTTTTTTCATGTAGATATAGTTTAATTTATTTGTATATCTCTTGTCCTGAATTCAGAATTCAGCAAGATCTCAAGAAACTCCAACTAATGGATTAAACCAGCATCAGAAAACTGCAGAATTGCATGAAATAATTCCTCTAATGAATAAAGACGAGGAGGCTAATAGGAGTGACATGACAGAAACTGTTTCAGTGGTATCACAAACATGATCGTAAATGATATAAAAAGACAAGATTTATATTAAACTGAACATATTTTTATTGATGGGTTGTCCAAAACTGGACAAAACTATATTGAAATAGTTGTTTCATACTAGGAATTAATATGTTAATTTAAAACCACAAACTCATTTTTTCAGGCCTCAAACTTTGTAGCAATGTGATATTATTGTGGCCTATTCAGTGCACCCAATTATTACAAGCATCTGTCCAACTATGCAATCTCTGACATGAAGGTCAACTCTAATTCTGGCTGACTTAAGCCTATCTGAAAAAATTAAAGCACTCTTTTCCATATATTTTACCTTTGCTCTATTGCATTTTTAATTACAAATGCTTGCAATTATTTTCTTGGTTCTTTTTTTATTATTGACTCTTTACTTATCTTTAAAAAATTATATTTTAACCATAATAAAATAAAAGGAAGAAATAAAGAAATAAAAAATGCTTGGAGAACTTGGTCACTTATGCATGCAAAGCTGAAGGGGGCATAAGAGTCTGCTAACATCAGGGTGAACTAAACCCTCATGATGCTACATTTCAGCCTTAGTTTTTTCTTCAGTGTTTTTGGACATGTTTTTAAATGTACAGAACATGTCTTGTGTTCAGGATGAGTATTACCATTACTTGCAGATAAGATCTGTAAGACCCAGAAGGACTTAATGGAGAAGAGCTAATCCAAAGCCACGGTCAAAGCAGCTCATGAACATTCAGGGTTCCTAACAGCCTTCACCAGCCCAATACTGTCACGCTACGGTATTGAATGATCACGCATGAAGATGAAGGTTAACAGTCTTTAATAATCCGCACACAGGTCAATTCCACACAAGGGAGGCTGGTAACACACGTATGCATCGACATTTAAGACCAGACAAACACTAACTGAACAGACAGGAACTTGAATACAAAGGCAAATGAAGATAATTAACAAGACACACCTGAACATAATGACATAATCAGACACGAGGGAAAACTAGGTCAAGGAGCAGAAGAACAGACTCAGAGACACTGGTTCATCTGTATCAAGATGGTGAGAGTCGATCAGAGAAACAGCAGCAGGATTATCATGATAGAGCTCATTTCTTTACTGATCATTCAACATGGAAACTTCTCCCTCCGTCTGGACAATCTGACAGCTGAAGATGAGGGACGATACACATACCAAGACTATATGTCAACAATTAGGAAAAAGACCTGAACTTGTATATTTAGACAGTAGATTGATTTCATTAAAACTTCCTTTACCCATGTAAGTTATTTTGTCTTTTCTCTCCAGACACAGTTTCTGTCTTCATCTCACATACTCTGTTTCTTTGACCTCTGTGGCGTTTCTGAAGGTGAGGTTGCAACAGGACTATGGCATGTTCACACAGGTGATCAGGAACCCTGGGCATCTTTCTTCTGGTGTTTTTCAGAGTCAGTAGAAAGGCATCTTAACCCTTTCACATGTGAGTTTAAAATATTCCAGCTGAGTGAGTTTTTTATATTTTTTTAGGCGCCCTTATTTTAGAATGTATCTCTTTATTGTTTCCATGGCAACGTGTCAGGCTTGTCACATAACACAACAGCTGTGAATGAGTGACCTTCATTTTTCTTTTTTTTATTCAAAATATTCACAAACCTGTTAATTATATTATGAAATATAAAATATTCCGATTCTCAAATATGTGCAAGTAAATGTATTTGGTGTTTTAAACACCTTTATAATGACCATGCTTGTTGTATGTCCCATGAATAAACACAGTGACAGCCACATGGGTGATATTTATTAACAGAGCTCGTGTCACAAACACGACACATCACACATTGAAATAGTGCTAGTGTGTTCCTAGTACATGTGCACAATAAGGGAGAGCACGTTCTTAAAGAGCCATTATAGCAATGTAAACTGTGTTACCCTGTATGCATTAAGAAAACACATCAACAAAGAATGATACTGGCAATATGGAAATAATAACAAAAACATGTTGAACGGGTATTCAAAATAAGAACTAAAGTGCCACTAAATCTACCATTAGTGGAAATCACTGTTCATATCTTGGGTTAGGCTTGCAAATATGACCTGAATGTGTTCGGTAAGGTCCATTGCCGACCCTAGTATAGGAGACTGTGCTGTGTGCTTTGGCAGGTCAGTAGGTGTGGATTCTGGCTGTGGGACGTGTATTTGTGGTGAGTGTGGCGTAGGGGGAGCAAATTCCTTTGTATGTGTGTTTTGAGAGTCAACGTCCTCGGGGTTGAGTCGTGATGGAGGAGGGCTCTGCAACGGGAACGATGTGGTGTTGGTTCCTCCTGTATATACTCCCATTGCACTGGATAGTGTATGACCGAGGCTCCTTGTTCACCTCCTTTACTGTGCCAAGGTGGTCGTATCCTTTTGTGGTTTGCATTCTGACAACTTGTCCCTCTGCCAATGGTTGCAGTGGATGACTTGAGGCACCGTAGTATCGCTTTTGGGTCATCTTATGAAGGAGCTGTGCAGTGACTTGCTGGGCATGTTTGGGGGCTGGCTCCAACAGTCTGGAATTAACAGGAATGGCTGACTGTGTCTGCCGTGACAACAGGCGTTGTGCAGGGGAACCCAACGTTGGGTCATGGGTAATGCTTCTCAGATTTAGGAGATTGAGGAATACATCTGTCCCATCTCTGTGAGATTTCTCCATCAGCTGTTTGCCACTGCGGACTGCCTTTTCTGCCAGGCCATTTGACTGCAGGAACTCTGGACTATTGGCAACATGGATAAAGTCCCACTGTTTGGCAAAGTCTCTGAATCGCTGACTTATGTACTGTCTGGCGTTATCAGAAATGAGTGTGTGCGGTGTGCCATGCACAGAGAAATGTCTCTTCAATTTCCTGATTACAGCTGAGGATGTGTCATGGAGAAAGTCCATACCAACACGAGTATGAGTCCACAAGCACCAGGTAGTTTTGTCCATGCCACTCAAACATGTCTGTTGCCGCGTTAGACCAAGGCAAGTCCGGAACTGGGTATGGTTTTAGTGGTTCTTTCTGTTGATGTGGCTTTGTGCTGTTACAGACTGAACATGTTCTGCCGTGATATCAGCCGTCATCATTGGCCAGAAAATTGTGTTCTCTCTGTAATGAGTGAGGAATGACTGTTTTGTAGCCTATCATCACTATTCCGTCTTCCACAGCTAGCTCATCTCTGTAGGGAAAGTATGCACAGCAGGGCACAAGCTATGTTCTTTAATTGGCCAACCTTGTTGAATCACATGCAGTGCTGAGAGGTGCAGCAACATCACTAAAGTTTGGGATAAACTTCTCCAGTTAATTTGCCATTCCAAGGAAGCGCTGCAGTGCTGGAACATACTTGGGAGCTGGCATCTCAGAGATTGCTTTTGTTTTTGAAGGATGACTTGGTTCAGACGGAATTTGTATTTGGCAGGGTTTAGTTTGAGCTTGACTTCGCATGCTTGATTAAGCACTTTTCAAATTGATGTCGTGTTCTGCGGCATCATGGCCTCCGATGATGATGCCGTCGACAATGATAGCACAGGGGTATCCTGAAAACAGCTGCTCCATTGAGTGCTGGAACACTTCACTTGCGGAATTTATGCCAAAAGGCATACGAAGAAATCTGTAGTGCCCAAATGTAGTGCTGAATGTAATCATCATAGAAGACTTGCAGTCAAGACATATCTGCCAGTAAGAGTTTTTTGCATGCAGCACAGAAAATACGGTTGCCCCCAACATCTGGCATGCTATTTCCTCTACGCTGCGTGTTGGGTGATGGGGTCTCTTTAACCCTACAACATGCAAGAGTGGAAAATGATAGGCAAAAAATCATTTAATGTCACTTTTTATATCATCTGGACTTAAGAAGAACATTCAAAGGAGTTTTTGAAATATTTGGTATATTTTGGATTTTATTGGACCGCGTGCGCAGTCTGTGTATATTTTTATTTTTGCAAAGGTCCCTTTAGGGGCTCCATTGTTGTGCCGAATTCTGCACCCCTGCCAGATTATGCACCCCCTAGTACTGGTAGGTTTAGGGTTGGGTTGGGGGAGTGGTTAGGATTATTGGAGGGGTTAGGATTAGCAAATCAGGTAGCGATTTCAATGAGGGGGTGCAGAATTCGGCACAACACCGTAGCTTTGTAAGTAGCTCTAAATATATTGATAATTGTGGCTTAAAACATTTTTTTTCATTCATGTAATGATTTGCTTTTAAGACTAGCTGTAAATAGCTGTAGACTAGCTGATTCTAGCTGTAAACCAACTTCAACAGTCCAAATGAAACCGAGAGAGAAGAATCTGTGCTACAAGAAACAACCAGCTGCAGTGACCTGATGGATGGAAATCAGAAACACATTGCAGCCCAGCGCTGGCTGCTGGAAGTCAAACCCAAATGGCGACGTCCAGCCCTAGCAGTAACCCAGCAGCAGCCTCCAGCCTGAGCAGCAGCAGCAGCGCGCAGCACCACCCGACCCAAAGCCAGCACATCAGCACCATGAGCAGCATGCAAGGTCAGAAACCAGCCGAACCGAACCGCGCTCATCCACCCGGTGACAGTTTACACACACCAGACGAGACTCGACCAGCCGTGTGGCTTTAGCTCAGCTGTCGACGTAACATCGCATTTACACGCTCTGAATTGTATGTTTTAAACTAGTAACCCCTTTGTAGCTGCTTTACACTAGTAGTTTTAATTGTAATTTTAGTGTCCTGTAGCCGCACGGCTAACCGCTTTAGTCAAACACTGACAGGCCCGTTAATATTTCATTTTCTCAACGTATTAATTGCATTATTTACTACGTAACCTAAGTATAAATTAATATTTTCTAAGTCCATATCGCAGTTAGTATTATAGTAATTGGTTTAATGTCATCGTTTGGATTCTGACTGTCGTTGGAGTTTGTTGACATTTTTAGCTGCATGGCTAACTGGCTAACGGTACGATAATGCTAATGCGAACTTCAGATCAATGCGAGGGTGTTTCAATTATTTGTGGACCACAGAAATATGAATACCTGATTTCATAAAGAAAATGGCACTGTTAAATGGTAAGATTACCGCTAATCTGTATGTCTTAAATATAATAAACCAGGGCTTTTCATATCATAAACCACGGGCCCCCAAAATATGATCATCCGCGTGCGTGGTTGAAACTTCTTTTTTTATTTATTATTTTATGTACCTGTTTATTCATTTATCTATTTTAATCAATGTTTGTTTAATTGCATCTTGTTGTTATATATCTACGCATGTATTTTAATTTATTATTATGATTATTACTACTACTACTACTACATGTTTTACACT